GTTTCTATAGGACGTGTTATTGGTGTAGAAAGTTCTTCTGTCATTGGTAGCAATGTAATATTTGTTACTATTTTTGTAACAAATTTTAAGTATTTCTTTGATGTTGTACATTATGTGTGAATGTGGAAGATTAGTGAACATGTTGGTAAAGTCTGCTGAAAAGAGCTTCATATTGTCCATACGTAAATTCTGGAGTTGTTCACTAATGTTATGTTATTGATCGCCCAGTATCCTATGTATTGAGTATTTCTGCATTTTATAGTATTGTTATAGTTGAAGAAATGACATTTTGTAAAAGTGAGTATTTTTGTAAGTTCCATGGATAAAGGTTTGAGACTACTTGTTCTAGCTCCCGTTATAGTTTCTTATCTAGGCCATCAATTGCGAAAACCTAACAGATCGCCGATTCGGACGAGTTACCCACATTGGTAGACCCCACCATTACCTGCCAAATCACGTAAACGGCAATGTGATCGCGCCAGACGACCGCCTCTCGGGGAAAAGACCAAAGAACGAGAGTACACAGGAGCGTGTTGCGTATCAATGGTGCGCCATGGCGTAATAACCACGCCGCAAGACCGACCGAGGGCAAAAATTGGTCTCCAGTTCCGAAATCGCTCAAATGCATTTGTAGATTGTTATTGACTTTTTCTGGTCCGTTCTTAATGTTGTTGTGTTGCTGGTTTTCAGTCAGAATTGAGGAAATTCCTTTTTCCCTAAAATTATGCGTTGAATATAGGTAGTATCAACATTTTCTAGTCCGTTGGGGCTGTTTACATTTGATGTGCGGCGAATATGTACACTATCTTTTCTCAATTATTTCGACGATACGTTCAATTCAAATTTCTAGGTATAGATCTCACCGATGGCACCCAGCAGTCGTGATGCTTCGGAAAGGGAAGCTACTTATGGTTTTGTCTATGGAGTGTCCGGACCTGGTATCCCTTTTTGTCTTCCATTATTATTTCGCTTAGTAGTTTCCGATCACTGAAGAGAATACTTTCCAGTAGTAACAGCCGAGAAAATGGCTGGATCTGCCATGTATGAGCTTGTTCGAGTGGGTCATGGTGAATTGGTAGGAGAGATCATTCGTCTAGAAGGCGACTTCGCCACAATCCAAGTCTACGAAGAGACATGTAAGTCTCACTTCTAGGTCGTTTACCACTGGGAAATTGGAACAATATGTTAAATTGAGCACTGAAGCGCTTATTATTTGCATGGTCTCGGGGATCAAAAGGCTGAATCGAATGTCGTGCAGGCTGCGCTGTACTCGCTCATGACGGCTTTGAAAAAAATGAATAGGAGGAAGTATAGGTATCGATTTGAAAAACCTCTGAGTTCGGAGAAATGCAGAAGCTGCAGAAATGCTGACATTTCGCAGAATTGTCGTTGCTCTCAGTAGCGCGGCTGAACGGTCAATCTCTATCAGGTCTTTCCTCGGCATTTCCGCAGATTATGCATTTCTCCCACTTCCGCAGTGGTTCACAAATCAACACTTTTACATTATGTATGTATATTATTCTCCGCGAATTCGAGATTTCTTCAGTGCCGTCATGTATGAGTGCAGTCTCAGGCCATCAAAGCATTTCACATTTTGCGGAGAATAATATACATACATAATGTAAAAGTGTTGATTTGTTGCCCCAATTGTTCGTAACGCCACATCGAATAAAAAGCCAACACTATTACAAAACACATAAGGTCGCTAATCTCGAGAAGGAGTATTCAAGATTCTTAATCATCATCTTGCCTCCGAGACTGAACACTAGTTGATAAATTTTCCCCTCCCCCGCGACTGTAGTTCCCACCGACAGAAAATGAAGTCTTCTAATTTCTTCTTATAGAGTCGATCACAGTGAAGTAGAGTAAAGTTACATCTCATGCGTCTATGGGCTTTATCGAGAAATTTCTTATAATTCCGTACGTCAGGTTGAAGGGCGCAATCTCTAGTACTATTGATAGTACGCACGTGCGCAAATAAATGGAGTGAAGTCCGTTGCACGTTTACGCCTATAGTTACGGCTACAGATTCCCAGAAATCAGAACAACTTCCCTACAATATTACAGTCATCGATAGTCTGTCTGAGCTTAAGAAAAGATAAAAAGTGTGAAAAAATCCCATGGTTTTCTGACGTTGCGAATTTGAGAATAAATGAAATCCTTTGCCATTTTTCTCTCGAACCAAATACATGGTATAATTGAACTTGCCAAACTTTCATGAAAAGTGGAATGTTAGTTTGTGTGCGACCATCCAGAAAGATAAATCCCACCATGCTTATGTTCCCGCTATCTTCAATGCTCTGATGCCATTGCATTTTTTACGTTTTTCGATTTTTTTTTTCGGTGAGATAGGCGTTTTGTACAACAACATTTCAGCGGCCGTCACAATCGGAGATCCAGTGTTGCGTACAGGAAAACCGCTTTCGGTGGAGCTTGGTCCCGATATGGGTCCAGTTTGACGGAATCCAGCGTCCTCTTAAAGATATTGCCGACATGACACAGTCAATCTACATTCCTAAAGGTTATTTCACTGTCGTTCTCACTAAATTTTACCTCTCTACAAAATGACATACGGTCTATACTCCATCCATAGATATCTGGTTATCCACTGTAAACCTTATATTTTTTTTCTTTTCGTCTGGAAAGGGAGACTCAGTGTTACTGTTAACATCACGTTGAAATTCTCTAGACCGTCCGCATATTTTAGAAGTATTGTGGTCAGGGCACGCCACTCGCGTTGTGACATTTTCTGAAATTACGACCCCCCCTCTAATTCATAGGTGTTCGCAGAATAACTATCATTTTCAAGCTGTCGGAAAAGTAGAACGCGTAAGTGAACCGACAATAATACACCTCGCTCACCTAAAATGACCAAGACGACCCCCCCCCTTTACAGCGTCCGTGAAACAAGAGAAATCAACTATCAAAAAATTTTTTTCTCTGACCAAATACGACCCCCCCCCTTGTGATGATCACAACGATGGCGTACCCTGATTTTGGTATCCCACAGCTTGTAGCCTGTTACCTGCTCAACTCCAGGCAAGAGTTGGTTGCCGTGCCGAGCTTTTCCGGACGTTCGCTGCCCTTAAGACCCTGACCTAAATGCACCCCTATGTAGAGTTACTTTAACCAGTTTTGAAAAGCACTACTCCACAATTCCGCTATGCTCGAGACATTATCAAACGTTTATGGTTGTCTGCATTACAAACAACTTACATTTTCGGCCTAATTTCTTTTTTAAGGAGTTTCAACGAAGGCTCTTTCCCGTGAGGCACGTTGGGATTACACTGTAAACAAGGACATCATCGTGGGATCTCATGTTACTGGTTAGTTCTTCTCAAAATCTTTTTTCATTTTATTGGCGGGTACAGCTGAGAGGCAGGCTTGGCATGAATCGGAATTCTGTATTGTAAAAGAAAATTTTGCAAAGTCTATTTATTTGTCTACTGTAATGTATGCGCCTTTGTGATTATAAATATGCGCACATGGGATCGAATTAAGAATAGTTTCCCCTACTGCGTCAGACACTCCAATCGATTGGTGTAAAAAAAACGTAGGGACAAATTCTTATGTTCGCTGTTGTTCCCCGCTTCGATCGTCAGGTTGAATTCGGATCTCGTAGAACTAAGTTCTAGACAAATTTGTGGGAATGATTACATGCGTAGAAATTAAGCCAACTCACAGATCTATGCTTCGAGGCGGGGGAGAATGAAGACTTTAATCCTGTTTCAAGATTAGCTTTTTGTTTCGTCCAAGGGCGAAACCTTATCTTTCCCATTTTTTCTCCTCCTGTTTCTAGTTCTCATTCAATACATTATTCACAATATCTTCTCCTAAAAGAAGTTGTCAAGCTACAGACAACAATCAGAGATCAGTTCTTCACTATGCGAAGCGAAATGGAATTCACCTCAGACTGAGGCAGCGTTCAGACTCCGCAGCATGAGTGATTCGCTCGCGCCTTGGTAAAACCTCGCGATTGTGACCGATCACGCCCCATCACTAACATTTGGACCATTACGATTGCTAATTGGATCCCTCCAGAAGAGTATTCCTGATGGCCATCTGCAGCGGTCCAACAACTGGCGGAAGAGCGTAGTCGCTTGTAATAGTTCGGCTGAATCGTCCGAATCGCGACATATAAACGTTGTCTACACAAAACTACTCTCATCAAAGGAGCTCCTATAGGTCTTTTTAAGCGCACAGCATCTAAGGTCGTTGCTGAAGGTAGATATTATCCATTCTTTGGATAACTTGGCACCGATAGATAGGTAATACTCAAAGATCTCTATTCTATCTCCCACTACATAACTTCCTCCTAACTTGCCCTTGTCCCATACAGCGTGTTCAATAAAATAAAACGCATTTGAAATCAGAACGGCGTATTTAGAAGAATGGAGACAGTCCTGAAGAGGCTTGTTCACGTGGCTTTGTATTTTATTCTCACATTCGAAGATGATTCGCACTATAGATCATCCCTAGCATATCATTTCACTCGTTGCTTACCTATCCTTTCCTCGTAGAAAGAGCTCAGTATCAAAATGTTGGGTGGCTTCTATTGCCGGCTTTGAAAAAGCTTCAGTCTATCACTGTCAGAAGAATTCAAACGCTCTGTTTGCCGATTTAATATGGTCTTCGTTTAGGTGGTGATGTACTTGGAACTGTGCATGAAAATCTGCTCATCAAGCATAAGGTCATGCTTCCTCCCAACTCATGCGGTACAGTAACATTCGTTGCTCCGTCAGGACAATACACCGTTGAGGTGAGTGATTGTTTCTGATATACAAATCCAATGCTTTTTGGTACTGCAAAGGCCTTGATTTCAGGACATACTGTTAGAAGTCGAGTTTGCCGGACAAAAAGAGAAATTTGCTATGCTCCAAATTTGGCCCGTCCGTAATCCTCGTCCTTGTGCAGAAAAGGTATAATCAGGGGTTGCATAGGCTTCACTGTTCGGTATTGAACAATTACTACCACAAGAACTCAAGAAATTGCTGAAACTCTGCCTGTACGGGTTACTGCCCTTCTCACGAGTGTGACATTCGTTTCTCACGCTATTCTGGCGCCACCACTCCTCTCACCGAAGTCAGTGTACTTGTTTAATGTGGTTGTTTGATGTCCTGCTCAGGAATGTCTTATTCATTTCTCAACACCAGTGGCATCGGTGTTCTGCTAAGGCTGAGTCTGGGGATAAGAAGTGATCCCCTTCAGACGTCAAGAATGAGTGTCAGATTCGTAATCACAGTTCAAATAGCCCCAGTATACAAGTTTTCATCGATTTTGGTCATCGAGGATATCTTGGTGAGGGCGCAGACAGGTTTAAGGCAGAGCGAATTTACATTCGTGTTTAGTACTACCTCTGGAAACAAATTTTCTGCCAAATCTGCCTCCTTAAAAAAATCGGTAAAAAAGTT